CCTTGGCAGTGCTGGGGGAATGGTTGGACTTGGTGGTCTCAGGGATTTCTGTGGCTCCTTGGCGTTGCTCCTTTCCCATCTCCTCCATCTCCCTGATCCTCACTCCCTGTCCCACCTCTCCTTTTCCACGGCAGGTTCTTCAAGCTCCACGAGAGGAAGTGTGAGCCCATCATCATGACGGTTCCCCGCAAGGTGAGCACTATCCTGGGGCCGGGCTGGAGCCAGCTCCTGCCTCCCAAAGCTCCTGATTGATCCATGTCTCCTGCCTTGCAGTCTGACCTCTTCCAGGACGACCTGTACCCGGACACAGCCGGCCCGGAAGCAGCTCTGGAAGCAGAGGAGTGGTTTGAGGGGAAGAACGCTGATCCTCTCCTCATCTCCTTGAAGCACGGGTACATTCCAGGCAAAAACAGGGATCTCAAGGTGGTCAAGAAGAACATACTGGACAACAAACCTGCTGGGAACAAGAAGACTGATCTCATAAATGCTCCAAAGAAAGCAGCGGATGCCTCAAACTCCGTGAGTAAACTCCAGGAATTTTGGGGATGATGGCCTCAGGTGGGAATGCCAGGGTGGGACCAGTGACGGGGCCTGAGGGAATGGTTGGAGCTCTGTCAGGGGAAGGTTAGATTGGATATCAGGAAAAGGGTCTTCCCACTGAGGGTACTGAGGCTCCCCATGAGATGTCACAGCCCCAAGGCTGCCAGAGCTCCAGGAGCATTTGGACAAGGCTCTCAGGCACAGGGTGGGATTGTTGCGGTGTCCTGGTCAGGGCCAGGAGTTGGACTGGATGATCCCTGTGGATCCCTTCCAATTTGGGATATTCCATGATTCTGTGATTCTAATTCTTCTATAGATATGGAAGATTACTTGAAATTGTTTTTTCTAAATCACAGAACCATTAAAGTTGGAAAAGACTTTGAAGATCCCCAAGTCCAGCCCTAACCCAGCACCAGCACCTCGTTCACCACTAATCCCTGTCCTTTGGGATGTATGGCTTAAAGAGCAGCTGCTGGTCCTGGATGGGTGCCCTGGTGCTGCTGGAGATGCTGCTCCATGCCCTGAGCATCCCACTGCTCCAGAGTCCGTCACACCCTCATCCCTCCAACAATCCCACAGGGAGGAGCCCTTTCCTTGGGAAACCCCAGAGCTCTCCTCACTCATCCTTCTCTCATCTTCCAGCAAAACGACGCCAAATTGGACGAGATTTTGAAGGAGCTGAAATCCATCAAGGACACGATCTCCAACCAGGACGAGCGCATCTCCAAGCTGGAGCAGCAGATGGCCAAGATCGCGGACTGACGGGGCCGCCAGCCCAGGCACATCCCAGCTCCCAGTTCAGCCAGCAGCAGCCTGCAGCATTCCAGTACGAGCTTTCCTGTTCTCCTAAATCCACGTCAACGAGAGGCGATGATTTCAAGCCAAGCTTTTTAGTGAAAGATCTTTTTTCGTTTCCCGATGTTCCAATGAATTTCTGTGACTGTGTCAAAAACAAGGCAAAAACGAGAAGTGCTACTTTTACAGTTTTTTTGGGTTTTTTCCCAGATGTTATTATGAATCCTTGAAAAACGAATCCATTCTTGACTTTCAGTGTCATGCCCAAATATCTTTTTCTAGATTTAGGGACCAACGCCACATTGTTCTTAACCATTTTTTTTTTAGAGTTGCCAAAAAATAGAAAAAAAAAGTTGCTTTTATTTTTCTTATTTGCCACTTTTGCAGTATTTGTGTTTCCATTCCAAGGGACAGGGGGTGTGGGGGGTGTTTACACTGTGCAGAGAACAAAGCTGAAGCTATTTTGTATAAATCCTCCATTTGGAACAATCAGGTGGGTTCCCTTCCTTTCTCTTTCCTGTGGAATCCCCTTGGAGATGGGATCAGCTGCCTTTCCTGCTCCACAATGTGTCCCCAGCCCTGTTGGCTGACAGAAAAATACAAATATATCATTCTGAACGAAGGGATTTATTTCCTACTGAAGTTTCAAGCCAGCACCATGTTCCCATTTTTCTACAATCCCAAGGTTTGTTTCCATGACCAAACTCACTTGTTTTACTTGCTCATTTTTATTTCCATTTCAAGGCAGAAGTGACTTCCATGCAGGAATGTTTTTATCCATGGAGCATGGAGTTCCAGATGAGCTGTGGGATGCCAGCAGTCGTTGCTGTAAATCCTTGTTCCTGCCCCCCAACACTCCTGAGCTCATGGATTTTAAGGAGCTTTTGGAATCCATCAGCCCTTCACACCAGTGCTGATAATAGGAATTTTCTGTGCTTCCAAGGCAGCATTAGCAGCAGAAAGGTGATTTTTCCATGACAATTCTCCACAAAAAAAATGCCTCTGTTGTTATTTTTTTATCATTTGTTTTCTCCTGTCCATCATTCCCATTCCTGCCTCCCACCCTTCCCTGCAGGAAAGGATTTGTTCCCAGATCAGATGAGTGACCTCCAACCCCAAACCCCCCCTGCACTCCCAGCCCTTCAGAGCAGAAGGGACTGGGAGGATGGATTTGCTCCCAGTTTGGAGAACTGGTTTCTCACACAGCTCCCTCGGGATCCTGCAGGGAGAGGCTCTAGGCTGGCGAGCTCCTCCTGGAATTCCATGGAGGCTCAGCTCAGCAAAGCTCTGCTCAGGCAGGGTCTCCCCTGTGGAGGAGCTGTCAGGGATGGGGCAGGCTGGCTCCCTGCTCCCAGGCTGTGTCCTTGTGCTGGGAATGGGATCCAGGACACCCCTGGAAGCTGTGCCAGGCAGGATTGCTGCTGCCATTCCTGGCACAGTCCATCCCTGCAGTGCCAGGGAGTGCTGATAACCCATCCTGAATCCACAGGTGGGCAGAGACCATCAGGTGTCTGAGAGCTCTGGATCCTTATCCCAGCTGGACTCTGTTCCTGTGGCAGCTCCATGTGCTCCCACCCAGAGCATCCCAGTGGACACGAGTCCCTCATCCAGGCTGAAGTGATTGATTTTTTTTATTTTCCATTAGTTTAGCTAGGAATTTTCCGATTTTCCATTTTTCCCAGTGTTTGCATGTTCAGAATTCCAGGTTAAGATTCCCTGTTGTGGAGGGATGTGTGTGTGGAGGCAGAATCAGCCGGGGGACGTAGCTGAGAGGCACAAGGATGGGATGGAGGAGACAGAGGATGTGGTGGGATTGCAGAGCAGGAAAGCTTCAGAAAAGCGGGATTTCTGTGTTTTAGGGACAAGTGGCATCCCCTGCCCTGTGCCCGTGGATCCACAATCCGGCTGCTCCAGGTTCTTTGGCTGTTTGGTGACGTTTCTGTATTGCAGTAAATGCCTGAGATGTGTATTTTTATGGATTTTTTTTTTCTTTTGGATCCCAAACCCGAAGGTTGTTCTCCCCACAGTGGTGATTTCTGTGTTGATTTGTACGTGTGACTTCAGGGTTGTGTGCTCGGGGACCTCGGGTTTGTTCCTTAACAGTGGAGGGAAATCAGTTTTGGGAGCCGCTGGATTGAGGTGCCCGGGGGTGGGGGTGTGGGAGATTTTAGTTCCTAGCCTGTATTTTATTTAAATGAACTGATGCCTCGCCAGGCTCAACCGGAGTCAGTGCCTGAAGCTTTTTGTAGCCGTGATATCCCGGGAGAGAACCAGCCCAGTCCGGAAAGACGCGCTCTTATAGAGCGGCCAGAGTATCTGTCCAAATATTTGCTTCCATTTTCAAAAGATAAAAGTCATTGATTATAAACTGCCTCTGCTTGGCTTTTCCTTTGGCTCTCGGCATTCCAGCTCTGATTGATAACTGGGATATGGAGTGAGGGACACTTGAGTGGGAGGCTGTGGCTCAGGGGGTCCTTGGGGACCTTGTGCTCTTGTTCCAGGAGAGCCAGGGCCCATTCCTGGGGTCACACATGGAATCCTCCCTGGTGATCCCCAGTGATGAACCCAAGAGCTTGGCTGGACGTGGGATGTGATGGCACAGATGTGCTGGGGGATCTCGGGGTGGATGGGGATGATGTGTTCCCAGGAAGGAACAGCCCTGCATCCAGCTTGGGAAATACCCTGGATCAGGGGGGTGGGGGCTCATTCTGCTTCTCCCCAGGTGAAATTTGTTTCCAGGCTGCAGGAAGTCTGAAATGACACAGAGCCTGGGCTGGAAACAGCATCTCTTACTCCACCCAGGTTTGAGTTTTCTCAGGGCTGAGGCATTTCAGGGGATGTTGCACAACCACCTCCAGAACACCCTGACCCCGGCACCGCCCCAAAGCCGGGCAGGCTCCCAGAGAGTCGGTGCGCCCTGAGAACCATGGATCCATCCTAGGGATGCTCATCCCACAGGCCTGAGCCCCATTTCCTCCCTCTTCCAGCCCCCTGGCCAGGTGTTTCGGAGCAGGGACGGGCCGGGGTTTCCGAGGGCGGGGGGTTATTGACACCCCGAGCCCGTTCCTGCGGATGCGCCTCTTGCAGCACCTTCCTGCGGCTGCGGCTGCGCCTCCCACCCCAGAGCCTGCGGTTGGGGCGGGGGGTTTCCTGTCGTGCCAATGCCACGAGGCCGGGACAACACCCAGGACAATACCAGGCAGCCCCCCCGAGAGCCCCTCCGAGCATCCTGAGGATGGTGCAGAGAGAAGGAGCCCGGCACAAGGGCTGTGCAAAAACATCAAGTCAGGGCCTCACCCTCCTCCACCTCGTGTGCTAAAGCGTTTCCCGGTGCTGAGGTATCTCAGGGCACCCTGCTCCCCTTCCTGGCCATGCCCACACCGTGCCCGCGGGGGTGGCAGCCCTGGCACCAGGTTTGCCGTCACTTCTGCTTTCGGAGCGACGCGAGCCCCGGAGCGCAGCTGCTCCGCGGGGCAGCCGGTGGGGCCGAGCCCTCCGAGGAAGCCCCCTTTTTGGGGTGCAGCCCACACCCTGCCACCCTCCCCGGGGGTGCCCGCAGCCCCCCAGCCCTCGCTGGCCCCGCTGTCGCCGTGACGTCCTTCCCCCCGCGGGTTCTGAAACCGCAGCCGCTTTTCCGCGCTCCCTCCCTTCCCCGCCCGGCCGGAGGTGCAGGCGGAGGGTGGCCCACGACGCCCCGCGGGTGCCTGTGCTAGGGCCGCCCTCGCCCCCCGCCCCGTGCCAGCCCTCGCCGGTGAGTCCTGCAGTTGGGATCCCACCGCGTCCATCAGCACAGGTGAGCCCCGGTGGGAAGCTGCTGGAGCGGGGCTCGGCCCCCGGGATGCTCTGGGTGCAAAGGGGATGCTCCGGGTCCCTGAGGGTGCCACGCTCCGTGCTGGTGCCTGGGCATCTGAGGAGGTGCTTTGGGGATGTGGGAGCCTCCTGGGAAGCTTGGAACATTCAGCCGTGTCTGGATGCTGTTGGGTGCGGATCTTCGGGACCTCGGGCCCAGTGGGGCTGCCGAGAGAGTGTGGGGGGAAATTGGTGATGGAACAGGGAGATTTGGGGTGAGTTTGGGGTGGATTTGCCTCTCCTGCTCCAGCACAGAGACACAGGCTCATGGTGGCCTCAACCCTGGAGTCCTGTGCCAGCCTGGCGGGTGGAGGGGGGGATGGGCACCCTGGCAAGGAGTGTCTGTCAGAACGTCGGTGACATCCCGGTGGTTTCATTTCCACACGGAGACTCATCCCGCAACTGCCCTGTCCCGCAGCAGCCGCCTCCATCACGGCTGATTTCCCATTTCCAGACACTCAGCTTCCTTATCAAAACTTGCTCCTGGAGTAGAGCCATCGGCGCTGAGCTCCCGCAGGAGGGGGCTGTGGCAGGAAGAGGATATTGGGTGCCTCCTCCATCTCCCAAACCCGAGGACCCCCCTCCAGAGGGGAAGGAGGATCCTCGATTGGAGTGTGATCCCACATTGGGGCAGTTCTACATTCAGCATTCTCCTGTGGGGAGCAGGACCCCGATGTCACCTGCCCTTTCTGTCCCCTGCAGGTCCCATGGCGCTGGGCCGGGCCGTGCTGGTGCTGCTGGTGCTGAGCCCCCTGTGGGCGTGTGGGGCTGAGCTGCTGGAGCCAGGGCTGCCCTGGGGCGGGCAGTGGGTCTGGGGGGAAGCCAAGCCCCTGCCCCTCTCCCGTGGGAAGAGGGATGACAGTGGGCAGGAGCCCGGTGCAGCCACGATGATCGGCAGTGACAAGAGCGATGGTGGCTCTGTGCCACCACCAGCAGCCGGCACCGAGGCCAGCCTGCTCCGAGTGCCAACCACAGCCGATCCCAGGCGTGATTCCCCTGAGCCTGAGCTGCTCCTGAGCTCTGCAGCACCAGTGCCCAGCACCAACACTAGCCTGCTCCAGGTGCTTGCAGTGTCCACCACAGCCGAGCCTATGGATGAGACAGATTCCCCAAAACCTGAGTTACTGGAGGACTCTGTGGCACCAGCCGTGCCCAGTGCCAGCACCAGCCTGCTCTGGGTGCCTGTAGTGCCCACCACAGCTGATCCCATGGATGAGACAAATCCCCCTGATCCCGACCTGCTCCTGAGCTCTGCCCCACCACCAGCACCCAGCAGCGAGGCCAGCCGGGCACTGGTGGTGCCAACCACAGCTGATCCCATGGATGAGACCGATTCCCCTCCTCCCGAACTGCTGCCAGACTCAGAGCCTGCCACACCGACAGCAGCCCAAAAGAGCATGGCCACCACCACCCCCAGCTGGCTCATCGAGGAGGACGCAGTGACTGATGGCCTGGACAGCAGCTCCTCCACGGGGCCGCGCTCAACAGCCCCCCCAGCCTTTGTCCTCACCAGCACGGGCTACAGGAAACCCAAGAAATCCGGATCTCCGCCTGCATCGACCCTCCCGGCCACTTGGGACACGACGCCGGTGGCCACCGCCGTATCCTGGGAGCCCAGCTGGGTGATGAGCAAGTGCCTGCTGGCCATCCTGCTGCTGGGGCTGGTGGCCGCCACCTTCCTGGTGTGCACGGGGGTGCTGGGGACGCTGCTGTGGCGGCGGGCGCGGACGGGGGAGCGCCGCTTCAGCCGCACCGAGATGGTTTGTATCTCCTCGCTGCTGCCCGACGCCGAGGCGGCCGCCGGTCCCCGGCCGGTCCCCGCTCGGAGGCACAAGCTGCTGCTGCCCGACGGCAGCACCGAGCCCGATGGAGACAACCTGACTCTCAGCAGCTTCCTGCCGGAGCACTCCTGAGCCCCAGGGATGGCTCTTGCATCCCGCAGAGCTGCGGGGCCGCGGGCAGGGTGCCCCTGTCCCCCCGGTGTTTTCGCTTGGACCACTGTGACGGAGCTGCGCCCCCGAGGCGCATCCCATTAAAGAGTTACCCGGACACGGTGGTCTTTTCCTGGCAGGGAGGGCACTCGCCAGCCCCCTCCCGGCCCCGCCGCCTGCCCACATCCTGCTGCCAAAATTTCGCTTCTCCATACTCCCCCTCAAAGCCCCTGGGGGAGCAGAAACGAAACCCGCAGTCGCTCCTCGCCAGACAGGGACCAGACCCCGGGACTTTGGGGATGGGACCGCAGCCCCCGGGACCTCCTGCCCGCTTGGGCTCGGCCTCGTGGGAGCGGGAAGGGCGGGGGGGACGGGGCGGAAACGCGGGGGGACGGGGACAGGGACAGGACGGGTGCGCTCGTGGCACAACGTGTTCCTGCCTGCGGTCGCTGCAGCGAGGCGGGGACGCCTCCGGAGGCTGAGCTGGCCGCTGCCTGTCAGGTGCTCGGCCCCAGGGAGAACGGTGGCCGCAGGGTCTCGGCATCGTCCAGCTGGGACTGGGAGGAATGGGGAGAGCAAATCCATGAGAGGGCAGCGAAGGTTCTACCATTTCCCCCGCTCAGGCAGGTGTCAGTCACCCCTCAGGCCACCAGCTGATCCCTTCCTTGGGGGAGTGGAAATAGGCCAGGACTGTCCTGCCAGGCTCAATGTCCCCATTTTTCCATTTTGCTCCACCCAGGCTCCCCATCCCCACATCCCCATCCCTGCTGTTACCAGCTTCAGTGTCCCATCTTTCCATCCTCACCCCTGCCCTGCCAGATTCAGCACGCGGGGGGACGCATCCCCATATCCCCTTCCCCATATCCCCAAGCTTGCAGCCTCCTCGAAGGCCACTCTGGGCTGGCTGTCCAGAAGCAATTGCCAGCGTGGTCATTCACCTGCATCCCAGCCCTGCTGCCTGTTTACATTCACCCTGAGCTTGGGATATTTTCCATCTGGATCCTGGCAGCTGCACAGCCCCGCTCCGGCTGTGAATGTAAATGTTTATGGGTGAGTCAGGCGGGCCCACAGCTGGTGGCCGTGGCCTGTCCCCACGCAGGACACCCTGCCAGTGGGCTCCTTGCTGATGCCACCCTGCTCTGTCCCACTGTGTCCCCACACCAGCACCCTGCCAGCCGAAGCAGCCACAGGATGGGAGCATCCCTCCTCTGGCCTCACCCCACAGCAGCTCATCCAGCCTCTGCCCCCGGTGAGGATGAGGCCGGTGTGTCCTGAGGAACAGGATGGGTGCAGATCCGGGGGATTGCTCCCACTCCCAGCCTTGTGCCAGCCGCTCTCCAGCAGGAGCCCAGCGAAGAGAAACTTTCTTTCACCGCGGGAGCCGAGAATCGCCCTATTTGGCGCAGTCAGCAGGTCCTGTCGGGCTGCCATCGCCCACCTCACGGCAGAGGAATTCACGGGAAGCCTGCGCGGTGTCACAGCAGGATCCTCAGGGTGGGGTGCAGTGGGGTGGCACTGGGCCGTGGTGGGTGACAGGGGCCGGGGGTGGCACCGGGCCGTGGTGGGTGACAGGGGTCGGGGTGGCACGGGGCCATGGTGGGTGACAGGGGCCGGGAGTGGCACCGGGCCGTGGTGGGTGACAGAGGGCTGGGGTGGCACAGGGTCATGGTGGGTGACAGGGGCCGGGGGTGGCACCGGGCCGTGGTGGGTGACAGAGGGCCGGGGTGGCACAATCCCACGCACGACGCTGCACATGGAGCACCACACGCCTCGTGCATCTCTGCAGGACGGGCGCCCTCCGGGTATTTTGCTGGCACAGCAAAGCGCAGCCCAGGGAAGCAAATTAGAAGCAGAGCAAGGCTGAAATGCCTCAAATTGCCGGTTCCCCGGGCGGGCTGTGCCGCCGAGCCCAGCCCTGCGCGGCCGCGCGTTCCTGCTGCCCCAAATTACACGGCGGGGCCGGCCCTGCCCTGCTCGGAGGGGCCGGGCCCGCGCCCGCTGCAGGCAAAAACGGCATCGTAATGGGCGGTGGGAGCTGGCACCGGGAACTGGGACGGGGATCCCGGCTGCGAGGGTGGGGACACTGGGCAGGGAGGGATGAGGACTCTGAGCAATGAAGGGTGGGAAGTGAGGGCAGGGTGGGATGCAGATCCTGGAAAAGGAGGGGTGGAGGCTGTGGGTGAAGCAGGATGGGGATCCTGGCTGGGGTGGGATGGAGCTCTTAGATGAGCGACAGTGGGGACTCTGGACGATGTGGGATGCAGACACTGGGCAGGGTGGAATGGAAACCCTGGACAATGAAACTGAGCCCAACACCGGCATTACTGGGTGCGTGGGGGGAACTCAGCCCCAGCCCCACCTGGGCTGCAGGAGCAGGGCCGGATGCTGCTGGAACTCCTCGCCCTCCCCTCGCCTTTCCCCCTTCCCCTCTAAGATTTCATCACTGAGCACTTAAGGCCGGGAAAAGCCGCCCGAGCAGCTGCAGGGAGCTGCCGGGGCAGCCAGACGGACGGAGCCTTTATTTTGGGGAGCTGCGACGCCGGCGGCGACGCCGGAGAAACCCCAGCGGCGCCAGCCCCCCTCCAGCCGGGGGGACAGAATCCCTGCCCCCCACCCCGCGGGGGTCACGGTCCCCAGGCGCTGGCCATGGCTTTTTGGGGGGTCTGGCAGGTCCCCAGAGAGGAGCAGAGGAAAATAGCAACAGGATGAGGTCACGCAGCGGCTGCAGCCTCTTGAGCAACCTCAGGCCAGGCCGAGGGGACCAGGGCAGGGGGAGAGAGAGACTGGGGGGGCTCAAGAGATGCCCCCAGACCCCAAGACTGGAGACCAGGACCCGGGGAGCTGAGCAGCTGCTGTGTTTGCCTGGGGAAGCAGGGGGACCCCTGCCTGTGTCCCTGCCTGCACCCCAAGGCAGAGGTGCCCAGGCCAGAGCATTTCCAGGCTGGGATTTTAGGAAATGTTCTTCTGAAATTACGGGGATGGTCCTAAGCCGTGTTTGCCCCACTGCCTCAATAATGCCACGGCGCTAGCCCACATCCCTCACTGTCCCCCCTTGGACCCTTGGATAGGCTTTACCCCCACCTTAGTGGATAAAAACAACATTAAAAACAATCCCCTGTGTGACCCTTATCCCCACTTGCACCCCAAAATGTGGCCCCCAAAATGATGGGGGGCACCGTGGCTCCTTCACTGACGGGATAAGCCAGGAAACACCCCCAGCCCCAGCTGGATTTCATCTGGGAGGGGGCTGGGGGCTGCCTGCCTTTCCCTGGCCTCCCACACCCCCTCCCCATCCCGGCCGTAATGAGAACAAGCTGGTCCCAGGCTGCGACGCAGGAGGAGGAGGAGAAGGAGGAGGAGAGGAGGGAGAAGGAGGAGGCTCCATCCCAGCAGGCTGCAGAAAGGGGCTCGAGGTGTGTGGGACAGATCCCGTCTTCCCGGCTGCCTCCCGCCGGCTGCGGGCGAGGTGAGGATCCCACTGGACGTGCCAAGCTGCTCCCCAAATTTTGGGGGGTTCTGGAGCAGGGCACAGGCTGTGCCACAGCCAGGGGTGCTGCAGTGAGGGCTGGGCATGGTCCCCACGCGGGACATGGGACGGAGTCGGCCACATGGCCGCATTCCCAGGCAGGAATCTGAGCCTGCTGCCTCTGGATAACACCAAAATCCTGAATTTCTGGAGCGGTTGGGAAGTGGAGCTGGGAACAGGCTGTGGGTCTGGGGGTGGGCAAGGAAGGGGTTGGAATGGGATTGGGATGGGGTGGAGGGCTGGCAGTGCCCGTGGTGCCAGGGCCTGCTCTTGGCACTGCTTTGGGCTTTGCTCAGCCCCTCCGTGGCCGTGGCTGCTCCTCAGCTCTGGTGGCTGCCGGGGAATTGATGCCATCCCCATTCCAGGACCCTTTTCCCGCCGAGGGGCCCCTGTCTGGGGTGGAGAGGAGGATGAAGGGGCTCATCTCACCCCTCAAACCCTTCATTCTGCCGGTGCTGGTCAGTGCTGTGACCCCACAGCCGCAGCAGTGCCCACGGGGAGCCAGGAGGGTTGGGGGCTGGGGCACCTCCCACCTCTGCTGCTATTTTTTTGCCCTGGATTAATGGAAACCAGATTGTGCAGCCAGGAGAGAGCCTGGAAGCCAAATCCTGCTGCTGGAGTCCCTCTCGGTCTGTAGAGCTGCTGGCTTGGGTTTGTTTGGGGGATAATGGGACGTGGGCTGGAATTTGGGGAGCCTGAGAGTGGGGAATTGTCATGGGGGGGTCCCTGCTGTTGTACCTGGGGACCTGTTTCCCGAGACCTCCCCATGGAGCCGTGTGGAGGGGAAGAGCCCTGGGAACGGCTGGATGGCGTTACATGGCGTGGCACGCGTTGACGTCCCTCGGGAATGTCTCACAACGCGGTGGAGACGGTCACGTCCCTCTCCCAAATCCCGTGGGGCGCAGAGCCCGGCCAGGGGCTCGCACTGTGGGCTGTGGGATGGGGCAGATCCAGCCCCATCCAGGGGAGGAGAACAGCACAGGGACAGAGCCAGCCTTCCCCCCTTCGCAGGGACACTCAGGCAGCCGGACACCATTCCCTGCACTCCCTTTGTCCCACACCCCATCCCAGCTCCACTCAAGCACATGGTGGCACCGGGGTGAAATCCTGCCCCAAACTATTTTTAGCCATGTTCCAGCTGGGAATTAACGGTCTGGGACGGCGGTTGGGAAATGCCTCTTGCACAGGGCCCAGCCCCTTTGTAGCGTCGCCTGTGTCAAAGTTTCCACTGCAAACCTCCATTTTTCAGGAATTCTCTAATCGGCCAAATGACCGTTGTCTGGAGCCGGGCGCTGGCAGCAGCCCCGGTCCCCCGGCCTTGAGCAATCCCACCCAGCTGGCTTCCAGCTGCACCCTTGCAAAACAAACAGAGCCCCCTGCTCTGTCAGGGCGAGAAAACCGGAGCTGCCTTTCTACTTCCATAAGGAAATTCAGGGGGGTGAGAGCTGGTTTGGAGGGCTCGCTCTGTTGGGGTATTAACATGTCCCCCCACATCTCTGCATCCCACAGGTCTCCTGCAGGAATCCTGGGAATGGGCTCAGCCATGGGCACGTGGTTGCTGCTCTTGGTGCTGCTGGTGGCAGCCCCGGCAGAGGCGGCAGCGCCGCGGCACCGCCCGGTGCTGCCGGACACGGCGGGCAGCGGGGACGGGGACGAGGCGTCGGCCACGCTGCCCGCCCAGCCCGTGACCCCCCGGATCAGCCCCACCGTGGGGGACACACCGGGGACCACGGTGACCAACAGCTCGGCTCCGGGCGTGCTGGACGGGCTGGTGGACTTCTTCAAGGAGTACCTGCTGCTGGTGGTGGTGGTGGGCTCGCTGTCCTTCGTCCTCCTCTTCATCATCTGCGCTGCCGTCATCGTCCGGCAGAAGCACAAGGCCTCTGCCTACTATCCCTCCTCCTTTCCCAAGAAGAAATACGTGGATGAGCGGGACAAGTCGGGGGGAGTGCGGGCGTTCAGCGAGGTGCCCGAGAAAAGCCCCGAGGCGGGCGCGGAGGAGCCGCTGGACGGCGGCCGGCAGCTCCAGGCGGACATCCTGGCTGCTGCCCAGAACCTCAAATCCCCCCACAAGGCACCGCTGGCCAACGGGGCCCAGGGCGAGCAGAATTCCCCTCAGGAGGAGGAGAAGGAGGAAGAGGAGGAAGGAAAGAAGAAGTTGGGGGATGAGCAACCCAAGCTCGCTGCCCAAAATCCAGGTGTGGAGGAAGCGGCGAGCGCAGGAAGCAAGGAGACCCCTGATGCATCCCAGGATGGCTCCCAGGCTCCCTCTGGAATGTGAGGCAGGGACAGAGTCCCGGGCAAGCCTGAGGAGCTGCTGGCTTGGGACACAGGATGGACATGGTGGATCAGGCTCCATACGTACGTGGTGGCTCAAGGAAGCCCCGATGAAGATCCCATTCCCTCCCAGCTCCCCCGACCCTGGTGCTGATGGGATGCTCATGGGGGAGGGATTTGAGAGCTGGTGGTTTTCCCCAGCACTGGAATGCTGTCAGACCCAGCTCCTGCTGCCCAAGGGGCTTCTCCTACCCCAGGCACTGAGTGGGTGCATCCCCCCAGCTGCAGCTCTGCCCCCACTGTGCCAACAGCTTCCTCACAAATGTTATTTTAATCATCAGCAGCAGCCTGGTCCATGCTGGGTTCCTGGCTGGGAGCTGTGTCCCTCTGGGAGAAGGGATGGGACCAGGGCTGGAGGTCTGTAGGACACGGGTCAGCTTTGCCCATGGCCAAGGGAAAGAGGGATGGGGATTTAGGGACAAGGACCCTCCTTTCCTTCTTCCACCCCAGAGCCCAGCTGGATTTTTGCCTCACTTCCTGAACCCCTTCAGCTAGAAATAAACATTTCCTCCGCACAGCTCCTGTCCCGTGTGTCTCTGCAGCCGTGGGGTGGCCAGGGGACAGTCCCTGTGCTCCTCCAAGGGCACAGCTGGATTGGACTCCAGGGCCAATGGAGCCCTGGGCAGGGTGTTATCAGTCCCCACATCAGCACACCACGTGCCCTTCCAGGAAACCTTTATCTTGTACCCACAGCTATGGGGCTGAGGAGGGCTCAGCCACGGCCCTGGGGTGCAGCTGCTGCAGTGGGGACAGGAGGGGAGCCTGGAAGGTGAGTGAGGCTGTTCTGCCTCAAAAGCAGCACATCCCTGTATCCCTGAGCCTCCTGTATCCCTGTGTTTTATCCCATTATGTCCTTGCCTCAGGACAACCTTCCCCTGGGAAGAGTGTGCCACCACAAAGAGCTGCTTTTGCCCCAAAGCAGATGTGAGTGTGTGAAGTTTCCCTGTTTTGTTTTTTTTTTTTTTGAAACTGGGAAACAGCAGGATTGTTCCATGAGGGAGAGACACGTTCCTCACTGCTGGAGGGTGCCAGGAGCTGAGGAACCACAAGAGGGACCATGTGAGTGACAAACTTGCAGCAACGTGTGACTTCTGTGTTAAAAATTACAAATATTGTGCCCGGATGGAGTAGAATGAGACATTTTTTTTAAAAATGTGGTTTTAAATGTTTAACAACACCCTTAGTATGAAAAATGGGAAGTGATGTGTCTTGTGGGGGGTTAGAAGGTTAAAAAGTGAAGTCTGCCAATGTATTGTCCGCTTGGTTTGGAAATACTCCTCCAGAAAAGAGGAACTTGGGGAGTTCCCCCTCAGCTCTGCATTCCAGCTCTGCTATTCCCCACTGGGGTTCCAGTCTGAGGGGGTACTTTAGAGAATCTTTGAGTGGTTTGAGTAGGAAGGGATCTTAAAGGTCATCCAGTTGCAAACCCCTTCCTTGAGCAGGGACACTTTCCTCTAGCTCAGGAATTACAGCTCTAAGAGAGCACCTGGTGAGTGAAGAAGTGAAATTCTTAGAAAACACCCAAAATTCAGGCTGTTCTTCAAACAAGAACTTCAAAAACTAAGTGGTGACAGGATGGGAGCAGAAACCACCAGTGTTTCCTGGTCACTTTTCCCTTTGGCACCAGCAAAAAGTTCCAGAATTCCAAGAGCAGGAATTTGCCCCCGGATTGTGAAACCAACCCTGACGCAGCCAGAGCCAGGGACGGCCCCACAGCTCTGACACACACATCCAAACCAGGGCAACACTTCCCACTAAATTCCATAAAATATTAGGCAAAACTAGACATCTTCCCAAAATAAAAAGGAAAGTGCAGCCCTTGCAGTACCGGACAGCGGGGTTTGGTCTCCGGAGCGGAGTCTTCCCGCGGCATTCCCGAGGGGACAGCAGCCCCCATCGTCCACGTGAGCACTACGGGGTGGCTGGACACCACAGGGACACGTTGTGCGTAACTTGTGCGTATCTTACAGCTTGAGTAGTGCACAGGGTCCTACAACAGCTCGGGAATTGCACTGCAGAGTGAGGAGGGGAGGCTGCGCAGGCAGGTCAGGCGTTGTCGGCTTTTTTGTCGGGTTCTTTCTTTGAGTCCTGCTTCAGTTTGTAATCGGCCAAGGCAGCCTTGATGGCGTCTTCAGCCAGCACTGCAAAGCAAAAAAAAAGGCATTTTAAGGACAATTCGAGGGCTTTTAGGACAAAGGATGAAGTAAAAAACAAAAGCAGGCAGCAGTGAGCAAACAAGACCAGCAGCACAGCCTGGTCTTAGGAGTAGAATCTGAAAGGAATTCCTAAAACACTGAATTCTTACAATACTGAATTCCTATAACGCTGATTTCATGCAATATAACTTCAGATAATGATGTAATTCAGAATCTGATTGTTTATTATCAGTCTGCTGAGCCACAGGCTCCAAATATTGAAGTGATCTGAAAATTCTTGAATTAACCCTGAAATCTGAAAAGGTTTTCTCTTAAGGACAACACTGGGCAGAAAGTGTTTGGAAAACAGCATCCAGAAGCATCTGTGCTATTCCCAGAGTACCTGAGATCCAGGGTTTTTACTTACTGGAGCAGTGCAGTTTGACAGGGGGAAGGCAGAGTTCCTTGGCAATGTCTGTGTTCTTGATTTTCAGCGCTTCATCAACCTGAAACAAAGGCAGAGGTGGTCAAGGGCCCTGCTGTTTGTGTTTGCTAAGGTTTAATGCTCCAGAGCCAGCAGAATCCACAGGGGAGATCCTCCCAGGGCAGTGAGGGATGTGGGAATTAAGGAATGTCTGACTGACTTATCAGTGTCACACACTGTCCCCACTTGGCCTGTTTCAAGTCCTATTCATCCTCTATCACAGCACTGAGGTGCATTTACTGCTGGCAGAAATCATCTAAAGGTTCTCTATACCTAAAATTTCTGCCTGGTTTTGCTCATTGCATAAGACACAAAGTCATTTCCTGCTGAAATTGTTTACGTGGGGACATGGTGAGTGGTGGAGCTGCCAGTGCTGGGGGAATGGTTGGACTTGATGTTCTCAGAGGGCTTTTCCAACCTTAATGATTCTCTGATGGCTGTTGAAAAAGACAATTATTGCCCTACAATTGAAACCCTGACAGTGCTGGCAGTCACTCCTACAGCACAGAGCAGCGCAGGGACTCTCTGGAGAGCACTTCCTACACAATCCCAACAGAGAACACAGGCACGTGGGAAGCTCTGCAGCCTTCCCGGAGCTCCCTCACCGTTTTCCCTTTGACCCACTCCGTGGCCAGCGAGCTGGAGGCGATGGCCGAGCCGCAGCCGAAGGTTTTGAAACGGGCGTCCACGATCTTGCCGTTCTCATCCACTTCCACCTGCGGGAGCATTTTGGGGACGCTTCAGTGCCCGGTTCAGCTCGGTCAGGTCCCCCCAGCCGGGCCCGCGGGGAGCAGGGCTGTCCCTGCCCCGGGCACGGGCATGAGGGAAGCCCTGAGGGGACACGGGCAGCTTTAACCCTGACAACAGCCCCGTGTGACCCCCACCCAGGTGCCAACGGGTCCCCAAGGTCACCTGCAGCTTCATGACGTCGCCGCAGGCCGGGGCGCCCACCAGGCCGGTGCCCACGTTCTTGGCATTGCGGTCGAGGGAGCCGACGTTGCGCGGGTTCTCGTAGTGATCCACCACCTGCCAAGACACAGCGTCAGCGAGGGGCACCTCTCGCTCCCCCGTCTCTCCCCGTGTCACGCTCGCCCCTCACCTTCTTGTGGTAGCCCAGCGCGGCCGGGGCCGGCCCGGCCCGGGGCCGCAGCAGCGCCGCCCCCGCCGCCCTAAGCGCCGCCATCTTGACTGAGGGGAGGAGCGGTGTCCGCCTCCCTTTTATAACCTCGGTGATGGCCACGCCCCCAGGTACGCCCCGACCACGCCCCTTCGCCTCCGGAGCTCGCGGCTCGCCCCGGTCATGGGTTGGCCGCGCGGACGGCGCGAGCGCTGGAGGCCGCGCTGCGGCTGAAACGATCCGTGAATAAATAAACGATGGGAACGGCCTTTCAGTCGCGTCGGGGTTTCCATCGCCACAGACGGCGCGTGTGCGGCACGCGGCGCCACACTCAACATGGCGGGCGAGCGGCGCCGCGCACGCCGCGGACCCTCTCGGAGGCCCCCTGATGGCCACACAGCGGGGTGCCCGAGGCGCTGCCTGCGCCACACACCAGAAGACAAAGGGGCGCGCCGCGACCGCACTCGGCTCAGCGCGGCCCCGGTGTGCGGGCGAGCGCGGGGCGGGGCGGGCTGAGGATCCCCATTTTTCCCGCCCGGTTCGGCCGGTGGTGGGGCGGAGCAGCGGGACGGGCGGCGCGAGGGCAGCCACGGCGGCCGGCCGAGCGCGGCGGGCGGCGAGCGGAGCTGCATAAGATGGCGGCGGCGGGAGCTGAGGCGGCGGCCGAGGAGGAGAAGCGGCTGCCGGAGGGAGACCCCGAGTCGGGCGGGGACTCGGACGATGAGGGCGACTCGGACTCGTCTGGGGACGGCGAGGATGAGGAGAAGGAGAACGAGGCCGAGATCCAGCGGCTGGAGGAGCAGGTGGGCCCGGCGGGGCAGCGGGTGTGGCGGGAACGGCGATAATCCGTGTCTGCCCCGGCACTTCGGTGCTGGGAGCTGTCAGGATGTGAATTCCCCTGCTCCTTGTGAGTTTCCTCCAGCTCGGGATATTGCGTGATTTTATGCCGTGAATGTTTGGAGTCGGAGATGGAAATGGACCAGCTTGGGATTTTTTTTGAGAGGGAAATAAGAGGGAAGTCATAGCAAGCAGTTCATTGGGAAACCTGAGCCGGCTGCCCGCGGGTTTTTATTGCCTTTAAAGAAATTAAAGCACAATTCTGTCTGGGAGCAGTGGCGGGACCGAGGGAGCGGCCGGGGCTGGGTTAAACCTGAAAGCTCTGCCTGGTCTGGCTCAGTGATCGCACCACGAGAATTGTCTTCTGTGTGAGATTTGTTTTGTGTGGTTTGTTCTCTGGCTTCTTCGCGTCCACCACTCAACACGGCTTTTAAAATTGATTTATTTTTATTTTTTTTTTAAGCTCTCCATCAATGCTTTTGACTACAACTGTCACTTGGATCTGATCAAGCTGCTCCGGCAGGAGGGAGAGCTGGTGAAGCTCCGCAGGGCTCGGCAGAAGATGAGCGAGCTCTTCCCCCTCACTGAAGGTACGGAGCTCTCCACAGGTGAAACATCGCCTGTGCAAGATGTTTCAGCAGTGAAATAAAAATATTTAGGCTAATTTTCAGCACACTCGATCGGGGAATGTGAGCCAGAGCTCAGCGAACTCCTGCTAAAAATGACATTTCACAGGCAGGCAGCAAAGAGAATTCCCTGCTTGTGGAAATTGTGGGTGCTTGAAGTGGGGATGTCTCTTTTTGCTCATAATTCAGAGGTGATGGACATACTGCAGAGGCTGGGGGATTTTATTCCTGGAAAGGGATGGAGAGGCCCTGGCACAGAGTGCCCAGGGAAGCTGTGGCTGTCTCTGGATCCCTGGAAGTGCTCAGGGCCAGGTTGGACAGGGCTTGGAGCAGCCTGGGATGGTGGAAGGTGTCCCTGCCCATGGCAGGGGTGGAATGGGATGATTTTCAAAGTCCTAAGAAATCCCAACTTCTCCCTTTAGTAAAAAGGTGCTTTTTTAGCACCAATTTAAAAAGTCTCCGCCCAACTTTTATTTGAAATTAATTAGGAATTGTGGAGGTTAAAATCCCTCTCTTTGTCTTGCTCCCCCTCTTTTGTTTTAAGTCTGTTGCTAAAAACTCACCAAGTGGACATTACTTATTATTTCTTAATATTAGTGATGTGTTCTAAATTTTTTTTCCTTCCAGAAATTTGGCTGGACTGGCTGAAGGATGAGATAAAAATGGCTTCAGAGATATCTGAGAGAGAGAAGGTTTATGAGCTGTTTGAAAGAGCTGTCAAAGATTACATCTGTAAGTCACCCAAAAATGCTCTAAAGTGGGTTTTGTTGCATCCACATTTGGCTTTGTAGGGAAGTCTCTTGCTTCTTTTATAATGAAGGGATTTGGTCAAAATTTCAAATTAATTTCTAAAATCTGAGTGTGAAGTGATGCAAGGGAAGGATGTGGTGTTTGGTCTCTCTATTCCTCAGCAGCTGCTGCAGCTGTAGCTTAAAATTTTGGGGATAAATCCCTGAATTCTTTGGGGATTGGGGTAAAGAGCTGGAAAAACAAAGCCTGAGGAAATGGAGGGAATCTGGAGGTAAATCCCCCTCAAAAGCTGTGTGCAGAATGTCACATCAGTCACGTGGTGTTGGTGATCCCTCAGGAAGAAGGAATGGAGGTGAAGAAGTGAGGAATTGTCCTCTGGATCTGCTGGATTGCATTTGGGGTTTGGAGGCACTTTCCCAGCCTGAGGGTCCCTAAATGGAATTTGGGGTTGGTGGGAGTGGTGCCAGGCTGTTCTCCCACCTCCCCTTCACCTGCAGGGTTCAGCTGCTTCAGGAGGTGCTGATCAGGGAAGTTCAGGAATTCAGAAAGAGCAGGAGGAGCTGCTTTTAATCTGAATTATTCCAGAGTGTCACAGCTCTGTGATCCCAGCTCAGGAAATGGGAATTTGCTGGAATTTGTGTGGTTTGTGTGGCAGAGGTGACAGGCAGGGCCAGTCCCTGTCAGCAGAACCACAGGAGTGACACCACTCAGGAGGAAACTGGGGCTGCTGCTGCTGAACCAGCAGCATAATACAATTCCCAAATATTTTAACTTTTTTTGCCTAAAAAAGAATATCACCACTTCTTTTTCTGTTTATATGCAGCACATCAGGCACGTGGGGAAGCAGAGCTGCATTTCTTTGTTAGTATTTTTGAAAAAAGTCAAATCACCTGTCTGCTGGATCAGGCCATGTCTCACAAACGGGATGGGACCCTGACTGGTTGCAGACTGAGGATTTATGTGCCTGTATCATACAAGCAAAAAGCAAGAGACACAGGAAAATAACAACATCCATGCAAATCCAGATGGCAGCTTATGCAAAGCCTTTTTCTACATATTCTTTGAACCATTAGCATAAAAGAGAAGGTGTAAAATCATTATACTCTAACCAATAAGAAAAGGACCCACGTGGGTTTAACATTAACTAAAGGACTTCTACAAACCTCAAACAATACACAATAATTCATTATTTAAGATTGAAACTTTTTCTGTCTTTGCAAAGCATATATCTAGAACTTCTCACATCTTGAACTGTCAATAAGTTCTTGTTCTTTCTCGTTCCTTATGATAAATTGTTTTTTAACTTCCTAGTTCTCCATGAGAAGGTTTAGAAATTTCCCAGCCTTTCTTATCTTTGCGTCTACTTTCTGAAGCCTTTTTGCACTTTCTAAACTCTTTTACCTTTTTATATTCCTACACACCTTGTTCTCCTAACCTTGTTTAGGTCCTGAGATTTGGCTGGAATATGCCCAGTATTCCATTGGAGGCATTGGGCAGGAAGGAGGCATCGAGAGGGTTCGCTCCATCTTCGAGCGGGCCCTGACGGCCGTGGGGCTGCACGTCACCAAGGGCACGGCCCTGTGGGAAGCCTACAGGGAATTTGAGAATGCCATCCTGGAAACAGCACAGGTGAGCTCATTCCACTTTGCTCCCATCCCAAAAAAAAGCTGTGGTGCAACTCCTGGAGTCACCTGGAGCTGTCTCCTCCCTGTCATGTCCCAGTTGTTTCTTCCCGGCTGTAAAAGCCAGCCCTGTGCTCCAGGAAAAACCATTCTGTGGGTTTGGCTGATGAAGTAAAGGATTTGTGTTTCTGTAAAATCCTAAAATCATCTCGAATCCAGGAGCAAAGTTTGGCTCTGCTGCTGTCTGAGGTGCCAAGAGCAGCTTTAAATTGAATGTTCCATTATTAAACAATGTTCTGTCGCTGTTTCTGCACAGAGTCAACAGAGTTTAAATTCCTAGACTGTTCAGCTTTTAACTCATTCATTATTCCACAATTTGTGGATGGGGGTGTTTTATCCACAGACTTTTGGATGAGGGTATTTTATCCCTGGACAGTACAGTTTGATATCTGCAAAAGTCACCTTTCCAAGATGGCCAGAATGGGAATATTTCCTTATTTTTGATAATTTGCTACATAAGAGATGGAGGCTTAAAGATGTCCCTGCTCATGGTGGCAGTGGGAACTATTTGATCTTTAAAGGTCCTTTTCAACCCCTAACAAAGGAGTAACAGGAGGATGTTCTTTCATTCCCAAACACAATTAAGGCTGGAAGTTTCAGATCCTCTCCCCACACCCCAGGGATTTACTGAAACCCTCTTTGGCAGCACAGTGGGGCTGTGAAATGGCACAGTCACCTGCTGCTTCCTTGTTCTCAGGTGATCATTTCCCCATGCTTGTGTCAGCTTTCAGTCAGGAATACTTTTCCCATTCATCCACCTTCCAAGGGCAGCAATTCCCAAGTTTTAGCTTTCCCAGCAGCGACTGAGATGCAGCTTGGCCCTGTGTGCACTTAAAGGATCACGTATTCACTTGGATCTCAGTTCCCTCAGCTCATAAACAATTCCCTCTCATGTCCATCAGCTGGGGCTGAAGGGAATGGATTAAATTTCCCTGTTTTTTTTTTGCTTGCAGCCAGCTCCTGGCAGCATTCCATCCCCGGAGCAGCAGCAGGTGCTGTGCAGCCAGCTCGAGAAGATCCACACGCTCTTCCGGCGCCAGCTGGGGATCCCACTGCTGGGTAAGGGCTGCAGTGCTGGGACACAGGGATCCAGGCATCAGGATTCTCCTGGCACAGCCACACCAAGTGCAGCTGGAGGTCTTGTGCTCTCTTGGATGAGGCACAGATCCCTCTGGATCAGGAATGTTCTGAGTTGTTGGAACTTGGGTCACCGGGTTGGGAGTTTGAGAATGGTTAAAGTAGAAGTAAGGAGCACAAAATGTGACTTAAAAATGAGGAGCTCAGCTGTGATTGCTGCATAAAATCCTTGGTAGGGAGTATCTGGCAGCTGGATTGTTGGAATTCTGCCTTCTTTAGTTCCTGCTTTAAACTCCTTGAGTCCCTTTTCTTGCTCATGGGAGAAAGTTAAGCACAGTTCTTTTGACTTCATTTCCATCTGGAAATAATTTGGGTTCTCTTTTCTCTAAAGCCTTGGGGAAAATTTTGCCACTTTGGTTTTCTAATTCCAGTTGAGCAGCTTTAATACAACTTGCCCTGAGTTTGTTATAGGGCACTATGTGAGATGAAATGTCAAAGCCTCTAAGGGTGCAGCAGTGTGACAGTAAGGACCAAAAGAGGATAAAAATTTAAATATTTGTTCCAAATAAATTATAAATATTACATAAATAAAAATATGAATTTGTCTTAGAACCGAACATAGGTTGAAATCTGAATTTTTAGTTTCATAAGTGCATTATTGATGGGATTTCATGTTTTAATAGACATGGAGGCTTCATATGCTGAATATGAAGAGTGGTCAGAAGAGCCCATTCCAGAAACAACAATAAAGAACTACAAAAAAGCTCTACAGCAGCTGGAGAAGTGTAAACCCTACGAGGAGGCACTGGTAATGCTGGCACCTTCCTTCAAACTAAGAGGGAATTGCTTTGGGGGGGATTTATTATTTTTCCAAATTTATTATTTTTCTAGTCCCCACCTGGGGGACTTTGTCAGCAATGGGAATACAGACAATTATATATTGGGAATGCTGGAAATTATGGGGTGAATTGAGTGTGCTAAGAGTGCAAATAAGGAATCTGGGTGTGTTTTCCAGTTTGGGTTAAGGGGAATAAACCCAGGATCTGACTGATTTCAGACCCATTCAGAGATGTATGAAAATCAACAGCTGCTGATACAGAGACAAATCTCTTGTGTGAAATCTTGCACAAGAGCTGCTCTGAGGAACAGCTGAACTGTTGGAGTCTTGCTTTGTTGAAGAGTTTGATGTTGTGTCTCCCTGGTTGTTTTCCAGCTGGGTGCTGAAACCCCAAAGCTGGCAGAATACCAAGCTTACATTGATTTTGAAATGAAAGCAGGTGACCCAGCTCGGATTCAGTTGATCTATGAGAGAGCTTTGGCTGAGAACTGCCTTGTCCCAGACCTCTGGGCACGCTACAACCAGTATTTGGTAAGGAAATAAACCCAGGAATGTTTTCAGATTTATTTTCCTGCCTTTACTTTTGTTTGTTTCTTTTTGATCTCAGTTGCTGATAAACAGCCATTAAGTTCTACCTCAGTCCTGTCCTGTAATGTGTAAATCTTCCAGAAACTGATTTTCACCTCACCTTTGGTTTCCTCCTGTTTTCAGGGATGTGTTTGTTCCTCTTGTGAGCATTTCTCACTTTTCTCTAGTTAGTTCTAGCTGTGTTTTCTCTGCAGAATAACAGGGTGTGGGCACTGAAGCAAACCCAGATGTTCAGCCTCTGTTTCCAGGGGGGTTGTTAGTGCAGTTTGAAGCTGATGCAGAGCTCCAGAGGCAGGACAGAAGGTGGCTGGATTAAGGGATCAGGGTGACTCCCTGCAGGAGCTTATCCAGACTCAGTTTTTCCATCATCTCTTTCTCTTCCCAGCTGGACACAGCAGGTTGCAGGTGGAGCAGCACCTCCACAAATAGGCTGGGTGTGCTCCTTCTTTGTATCCTTGACATTCTAGGAACATTGGGGATTCACTCAGTGCCTTTATTATATTTATGTCTTTGGCAGAAAACACTTCACTGGCCTGGTAGTTCTTTCCTGAGCGTGCTCTTCCTCACTGGAAGGTGTTCACTGGGTTTTTAGGAATACAGAATTTAAAATACTCACCTGAGCTTTTTAAATATAAAATGAAAATGCTGGGTTTTAGGTGTTGGCTCTTTATAAGCTGAGGTTTGTCTTGTGTGGTCTCTGGCTGACAGGAACTTCAGTTTTCTTGTGTGATTCTTTCAGGACAGGCAGCTGAAGGTGAAGGAATTGGTTTTATCTGCTCATGACCGCGCTGTCAGGAACTGCCCCTGGACTGTTGGGCTGTGGATTAGGTACCTGCTGGCCATGGAGAGGCACAGAGTTGAGCACAGCATCATTTCTGGTGAGGAAAGAACCAGCAATTGCAGTTCAGAGCTGCTCTCTGCCCTCCAAACAGCCTGGGATAAATGGGACTTGAAGGATCTGTTCTCATCCTGCCACGGGCTGCAGGTCCTGCAAGGGCAAAGCTGCTTTGGTTGAGCAGCTTCACCCTGAGCAAGCAATGAACAGCTTGGAATGAACATTGCTGAATTCAGCTGCCTTTAAATTCAATTCCTAAACCAGTGTATTGTGTAGGATTGTTTTTCCTGTCTTCCTAGAAACCAGTGGTGTTTGTGTAGATATTTCTTTGTGCTATCACTGCTACTTGCTCATTTTGACAGTATATGGGAAGTAACTGTTTTTTCCCCATTTTTCTTTCAGAAATGTTTGAAAAAGCTCTGAATGCAGGTTTTATTCAAGCAACAGACTATGTAGAGATCTGGCAGGCCTACCTGGATTACCTGAGGAGAAGGGTGGATTTTACACAAGGTCTGTATGATAAGTACAGAATAAATATCTATACTGGTTTTTTTTTTACTTCTTGGATATTACTTTTTTAAAGAAAATGAGCAGTATTTTCATATTTCACAAAAATTTTTGTTTGGCCAGTTAATGTCTATAAAAAATAGGAATTTGTTTCATTTGCTATTGCAAAAATGCCCTGCCTTATATTTTTGATACCTGATTTTTTAAATTATTTATGTAGTGAGTTTTACTTGTTATAAAATCATGAATTTAAGCAATAACAACAACGAGGAATAATAAATTTAATCTCCCCCTGCTACCCAATAAATTCATTGTGGGTGTTAAGGAGATGGTTTTATTGGATGGGAAATAAAAACTAAATTATTATTTTCAGATGTTTCTTTTCTTTCCTGCAGACTCCAGTAAGGAGCTGGAGGAGCTGCGCTCTGCGTTTGCACGAGCTGTGGAGTACTTGAAACAAGAAGTAGAAGAAAGTAAGTGAAATCATCTCAAGTAGTGTTTTCTCCTCTTCAAAATCATTCTTATAAGATCAGTTCTCCACACAGTGTTTGTCTTCAAGAATCTTGAACATTGCAGAAAGCTGCAGATCAAGATTTCATCTCCGTGTGGGACCTGTTTAATAAACACTTCTATTTCTGAGAGCCAAGTGCAACAAACAGCTCTTGTTTCTCTTCCTAGGGTTCAGTGAAAGTGGAGATCCATCCTGCACCATCATGCAGAACTGGGCAAGAGTTGAGGTGATGTTTCTCTCTGCTGTATTTAAGTTGCTGAACCTGATAAAATGGATTTAAAATAAAATGTTTTAACATTCCAACCATGGAATGCAGTCCTTTTCCAATCCATTTCTCCTCTTCCTAAACACAAACCAAGTTCTTAGTCTGGGGAGTTATTAGGTACATTCATCAAAACAAAAGGAAGAAATTCAGAAACAGCTCTCTAATTTATTTTATAATCACCAAAATCCAATGGATGTGGGAGCCAGAACCAAGACTAATGGGAGAGGTGTTCAGGGAAGGATTATTCGGTAGTAGGATTGTGTCAGGTGTTTATTTTTACCCCTGTAAGGCACAGATGTATCTTGCTGGGTCTGTTTGCAGCATCTGGGGGGTGTTTTTAGTTTGGGGTTAATGATGTTGAACAAATAATCCTGAAGGATATTTTGGATGCTCCGTTGCAGGCCCGCTTGTGTAACAACATGCAGAAAGCCAGGGAGCTCTGGGACAACATCATGACTAAAGGAAATGCCAAGTATGCCAACATGTGGCTGGAATATTACAACCTGGAAAGGTAGGAGCTTGGTTAATTCACTTTTTAGTTACCTCATCTGTGGGAGAAAACAGTTTAGAACAAATGGGTTTTGTTTGAGTTTACAAAACACCTTCGAGCTTCTTGGGGCGGCTCTGCTGTGGCTTCCAGGAGCTGGGGAAGGAGAGGGGAATGTTTGCATGGCTGGAACTGTGTGTGGTTTGTCCCCTCAGTGTCCTGTCCCTCCTGCAGGGCCCATGGGGACACCCAGCACTGCAGGAAGGCCCTGCACCGGGCAGTGCAGTGCACCAGCGACTACCCCGAGCACGTCTGCGAGGTGCTGCTCACCCTGGAGAGGATAGAAGGTACCTGGGCACTGCCAGGGGGTGGCTACGTGACAAAAGGTCACTGAGTGACAGGCAGGAGGTAATTAATTAAAGAAGGTAACTAAGTGACTGGCAGAAGGTAATTAATTACTGCATCTCTTAGCCTGGTTAGGCAGAGGTGGCACACAGGCTTTTGATCCTGTGTTTTGTGCTCCACTGAAGTCTCACTTTGCACTGCTGTCAAATCCACAGACAGCTCTTTTTTTCCTTGCTTTTCTGAAATCACTGGATTTTTCCATGCCTTTTTGGAGTCTTGCATTATGAATGAGAGGTTTCTGCTCTGCTTGGCTCTTTGGGTTTTTTTACCTTGCAGGCTAGTTGTTACAAGTAGAATTTTCATGTGTAATGTTAAATATGAACAGCAGGTGCCATGAACTCAGTGACTCTTATTTTTCCAGAATTGTATCTTTGAATTATGAGAAAGCTAAATAAAAGGCTTTTTAAAATTATTTTTAATTTTATCCTTTAGGAACACTGGAAGACTGGGATGCAGCTGTTCAGAAAACTGAGAACAGATTGGCTCGAGTGAATGAACAAAGAGCAAAGGTCTGAACTTTCTGTGAGCTACCAAAGCATTTTATACACCTAAATTAAATCCATGCTTCTCTGAATGTCACATTTTTAATGTGGCTTCCCCCCACATAAACCTGACATGCCTTCAAGCCCTAGAACTATTGATTTTTACTTTAAAACTATGATTAACAACCTCTTGCTGCTTTTTATCTTTCTCCTTTTGCCTGTTGGATGGCCACAAGAGTGATGTGCCCTCCAGGAAAGCTGTGAGAGCAAAGAATTGGGATGAGCTTTAAATGATGTCCCCATTAGTGCTGGGGTTACGAGAAAACCCTCTGGGCTCAGTGCTCTGGAAAATGCAATCTGCAGCCAGTGGGAGAAAAAAGAAATAAATCTTCTGTGTTTTAGGCTGCTGAGAAAGAAGCTGCTCTGGCAAAGCAGGAGGAGGAGAGAGCTGAGCAGAGAAAGCAAGCAAGGGCAGAGAAGAAAGCTTCCAAAAAAGCCAAAAAAACCAGGACTGGGGACAAGCGCAAAGCAGACGAGGATGACGAGGGTGAATGGGGACAAGAAGAAGGTAAAAATAAAATTAAATTGAAGCTTCAGAGCTCTGGCAACAGGGTTGTCTTGTGGTAGAGGGAGCTGAGGAATTGCCAGCACTGCTGTCTTTCCAGGGCTGCTTTCTCCTGGGAAGTGTTCAGTGTGGGAGTGAAATGCAAACAAGGCTAAATGGTTTTATACCAAGAGAAAAACAGGTTTATAAGAACTTCCAGAGTTTTCTTGGGGTTTCTTATTTTGGATATTGTGATTTTGGTTTTTTTCTTCCTTAATTTTCCTTTAAAGTAATTTTTTCTGACTCATCCTATGATACTGAGCCATTTGTCTAAATTGGGTTATTCAGAATTGTAGCAGCTTCTTGGAGGTGGGAACAGAAGACTTTAATAGGTTGTTGCCCCTGGGATTTTTGTGAGCTTTTAGATTTTTTTTTTTTAAATAAAGAACCATTAGACAAAGAAAAGAACATGAATCAGCAACTGTCAGTTATGACTGGCTGAAAAAAAGGAACAAATATTCCAGTTGCTTTCATCTAAAGCTGTCTTGGTGGAATAATCTGTTGTTATTTGTTCTTTAAAACCTGAGGGAGGTTTTTATGTGGTGTCTTTAAGACCTGTCATTGTATTTGTGCTTCCATGTGCCATTTCCAAGCTCCACAGTGGGGATGGAGGGCAGGGGAGTTTCAATGGGGAAGGAAATGGGGTAATTTCTTTCTAACAAGGCTTTCAATTCCATCAATCAGAGCTGCCCAGCAAGAGGTACAGGGGAGAGGGTGATGGAGTGCTCCCTGAAGAGGACATGGAAGTGGAGACTGGGCTCTTGGGGAGCAGTGAGAAGCCAGATGGCCCCGCAGCCCCAAAGGAAAAGGCGTCCACCAGCCGCAAGGACGCGCCCAAAGTTCTCCACGACAGCAGCAAGGATAAAGTCACTGTGTTTGTCAGCAACCTCTCCTACACCATGGCAGAGCCCGAGGCAAAGCTGAGGGAGCTTTTTGGGAGCTGTGGGGAGGTCGTGGAGATCCGAGCAGTGTTCAACAACAAGGGCACCTTCCGGGGCTACTGCTACGTGCAGTTCAGGGAGGAGGAGGCTGCTCGGCAGGCCCTGGCCTTGGATCGCACGGCCGTGGAGGGCAGGCCCATGTTTGTGTCTCCTTGTGTTGACAAGAACAAGAATCCTGACTTTAAGGTGAAGTTTTGGTGGTTCCTGTTTGACAGTGGATGTGGGGAAGGGAGTTGGTGGAATTTGTCCAATCGATTTATGTTGTGCTTCTTTAAACTCTTTTTTTTTTGGGACTTTTTGCATCTTGTTACTCTGCCAGACATCAGGATTGACATAATTTATTCAAGATTTGCAGAAATCTGCTGATCTGAGCAGTTTAGTTGTGGGACCTACCCAGGTTCAACCTCTGAAGTGCTTTCTTGGTCAGCATTTGTTACCCAATCCCCTGGCTGGGGATGTTCTGTACCAGAGCTCAGTTGTGTAATCGGGATTTCTGCATTCTGGAGTTCCTGCACAGAAAAATTCAATGTTCCCATAGTGACAGCTGAGTAAGAGGGCAGTATTATAAATACATTATTATAGGAATTGGGCTCTGATTCCTTCTGGATCCCTTCCAGCTCAGGATATGCTATGATTCTCAGTGTCTGCCCTCATTGGGAAGGGGTTTAGTAGCATTTAGTTGCAAGTCCTTGGTGTTTACATGCAAATATCTTCCAAAACACTACTCATGGCTTTGAGGCAGTTTTGGATCCCACAAACAGGAATTGCTTTTGGGGTGTGGAATTGAAATCCTTGGAATTTCTGGCTGGTTTGTGAACCAACATCCTTTTTGTTCCTCCAGGTGTTCAGGTACAGCACTACCCTGGAGAAACATAAACTCTTTATATCTGGTTTGCCATTTTCCTGCACTAAGGAGGAGCTGGAGGAGGTGTGTAAAGCCCATGGGAATGTGAAGGACATTCGACTGGTCACCAACAGAGCTGGAAAACCCAAGGTAGGCATCCTTACCACACTCCTGGTTTTAAGGAATCCTTCAAAAAGAAGCTTGTCATGGAGTCTGGAGACAAAAAATTTGGGTTGATTAAGTTGCCAGCCTGGTGTTGTATTATTACTTGTGGAAGAGCTTGGATTTATACAGTGTGCCTTTGTGCAGAAAACCAAAAGGAATTTTTCCAAAATACTTGTTAAATTGCATAAGAAAAACAGGATGGAGGGGGAAATGTTTATAACACTTTCAGTGTAGTAAAAACAGGCAACTCTGTAAAGGTTTGGTTTTTAAATAACTGGCTAAATGGGGTTTACCTGGTGCAACCAATTCTCATCCTCCTTTCCTCAATTTCCTGAGGCTTTTGTTCCTAACATCTGCTGCAGGAAGGGGTTTGCCAGTGAGAAATGAACGCCCTCTCTGACAGGGCTCATTATTTCCATCCCTGAATAAATGACTCCTTGTTAAATAAGGGATTCTGAACCAGCTGCTGCTCTGCCAAAACTCTGACACCTGGGCTGTGTCTGTGTGGTGGGTCCTGTCCACAGGGACATCCTGGGAATGGTGGACTTGGATTTAAGTTGAATTTTCTTGCCCTTTGCATCACCTCAGGTGAAGCTTCTGTTGTGTGCACACCTTGTAATGAGTGCTCTTGGGAACCCCAACTCTTGTTCTGAGCTTAGTTTGAGCTGGGATTGTGTGTAAACCACAAATAAATGTATTTTGGGAAAGTTATGTAAAACCTGATGCCTCTCCTATGAAACTGGATAATCCAAAAAATGCAGCTTAAGGCTTTGAATGTCATTTAAAAGAGTAACAACAGGGAGAGGTGATGCCCTTCTCTGTGTGAGCCTGCTGTGGTACTTCATTTTATTTCCTTTAATAGCTTTTTTGGAGTGGTTCTTTCCTTTTTTAATACCTTTTCCACACATTGAGGGCATCAGGAGTGAAAGGAAATACAGGTTTCTAAGGAGAATGATGATTGGGAGTGATGAACACTGGGACTGAGCCATGTTGAGTTTTCCTTCATTTACGAATTCCTCATCAGCTCTTACAGAAGCACTAAAACCTAATGTAGGTTCTTTCTTTCCTTAATTTAGGGCCTGGCTTATGTGGAATATGAGAATGAAGCCCAGGCCTCTCAGGCTGTGCTGAAGATGGATGGGCTGACAGTGAAGGACCACGTCATCAAGGTGATGATCAGCAACCCCCCGCTGCGGAAGCTTCCGGAGCGGCCCGAGCCCGGCAGGGCCTCCCTGCCCCTGGTACCACGGCACATCTATGGAGCGTGAGTGGGGCAGGGCTTGAGGGAGGGGTGCTGGCACTGCCTGGAAAGGAAATGCTGTGTTTCTGTATATGCTAAAGTTGAGGAATCTTAGCTGGAATATGGGGGCTTAGAAAAAAGAGGGGGAGGGTTTTTTATGTGGGCAAGTGGGAAGGGCTTCCCATTGCCAAAGGGCAGGGTTAGGTGGGATATTGGGAAGGAATCATTCCCTGTCAGGGTGGGGAGGCCTTGGCACAGGCTGCCCAGAGAAGCTGTGGCTGCCTCTGGATCCCTGGAAGTGTGCAAGGCCAAGTTAGACAGGGCTTGGAGCAACCTGGGCTAGTGGAAGGTGTCCCAGCCCATGGCAGGAGGTGTGAGTGAGTGATCTTCAAGGCCTCTTCCAAGCCATATCATTGTAGGATCCTGTGAATCTGAAAGAACATTTAAAAGGTACTGCACCATAAAAAAATGGGTTGTTGGATTGATGAGGAAAAGCAAATTTTTCCTCTTTACCCACAGAAACAGCTCTGTAGCAACGAGATCATGAGGCACTGGCCATCCCCTTGGGTCTGATGTTGGCACTGATCTCCAATAACCTCCACATCCTCTCCCTCTGAAGAAGCAGCCATTGTTCCTAATGAACATTAAAGCTGCTCCTTCATCTTTTAGTGCTCCTGTATTGGATGAGCCCTGTGGATAAACAGAGCTTCAGCCCTGGGGACTGTGGGGCAGTTGTCTGCCAGAACTCAGGGGTGCTTCAAAGACACCCCTGGAACACCCCCTGTTATCCCTGGAACAAATGACAGGAATGATATTGAAATGTGCATTCCTCATAGCACACAAGTCCTTATTGTTCCCCCAAGCTAAAAGAGTGTGTTTTAATGGGAATTTTTTCCCTTCCAGGCGAGGGAAGGGAAGGACACAGCTCTCCATGATGCCCCGGGCTCTGCAGCGTCAGAGCAACCCCGTGGCCAAGGCTGAGAATGGGATGGTCCAGAACTCACCAGCAGCGTCCTCTGACCCCCCTGCAGAACCCAAAAAGATGTCCAATGCTGATTTTGCCAAGATGCTCCTGAAAAAGTGAGCAGGGAGTGTGCACTCAGCGGGTCTGGTCCAATGTGAAATGCCTTTCTGGAAGCCATGTTGTGTCCTTAAGCTTTGCAAGGAGAGAACGCCCGTCCCAATCCCGTGTAAATACTGGACTGCTGCATTCCTCGGGATCAGTGGAGGATGGCACAAATCCAGGTGGTAGTTTTTTCGTGGTTTTTTTTTTTTTTCCCTCTAAGAGCAAAGAGTTACACTTTTGTTCTGGTAAAATGGCGTTAATGTGATCCCTCATATTGAGGGTAACGAGGGGGGAAGTATTTCCTGCACAGCTCGGATGCCACATGGAGTTTTTGGAGTACTTTCCAACGATTTTCTCTTTCATTGACGAATGAGATGCCATGGGAGGACCTCAGCAAGCTCCACTGGTCAGCTCAGATTGGGATTGCAGACATTCTCTCTGCCAACAGCCCCATTCTTCACCCAAACCCACGCACGCAGGGACTGTCATCTCCTTCCATGCAGAATCCAACAGCAGATGCTCCAACTTCACCACAATGGCCTCTTTTAGTATTGGGAGAGTTTCTATACATATGTGTGTATATGTAGATACACAGATATACATATATATGTATCCAGTTCCTGTTCTGTTCTAGTTGACCTGTTTTTTATATGGTGTATTTGTAAAGGACATTGAGATGATTCTTTTTAAGTGTCAGGAGCTGATCCTTAGGTGGTAATTTTTGTTTCCCATGAAGCTGGACGTGCTGTTGCTGAGGACCAGATTTTTTGGTTGTTTTTTGGTTGTTTTTCCTAGCTAGCTCATGTCTTTCTGCAGGTGGTTTCTGTATGGTTTTGTACAACTGTGAAGTGCAAGCTGACGTTTCTCGGTTTATTAAACTCAAGTTCTCAAAGGTTTTCTATAAATACTGTTGCTTTTGTTTAAATGTGGGTGTTGGAACTGCACTTCTCCTCTCACAGCTGGGTGATTAGTGATGTACCTCACCTCTCAGGTGTGCTCAGTGTCCCTCAGGCCTTGAAGCAGCTCATTCCATCTGCTCTGAATATCCTGAAATCACTTCAGTCATCACCTCAGACTTTCCAACAGTGGTGTGACCTTGCATAGAAGCATCCCTGCTTGTCAACTACCCTGGAAGTCACCACCCGGAGGGGTGGATGTGAGGGGGGACCCCAGCGCTGAGTTCACTTGGACAACACCAACACTGCTTCAAATAAACACTATTTTTCTGTGCTGATTTCACTTGGCTTTACTTTGAAATGATCACTCTGCTCATGTTGGCAGGTGGCTGAGGGAACCAGGATCTCTCCCATGGCCTCTCCTCCTCCACAACCACTTAGTTCACTGCAGCCAAGTGTGCTCTGAGAACAGCCTCTTCCAACCCAAGACTTTAATATTAAAATAGTTTATTAATCTGTTACTAAAATAACATTTTTTTCCCCCCACAGAGCTCTAAAGTGCATTATTTATACTCAGGTTGCACTACAAAAATAACATGCTTTGTAAGGACAGGACACCTTTCCTCCTGTATTGTCTGCTTTCCCTGGCAGCAGTGCTCAGAGAACTCCCAGTCTCATCCTGGTTTCTGCTTCTCTAAAACATGTCCTAAGCTCCCTGTCAGGTAAGAGAGAGTTAAAAGGGAAGAAAACTAAGCCTAGGACAACCTGGCAGCTTTTGTCAAGAGGTTAAATGCTCTAAACTGGGATTTTAAATTGAAGTTTTGTGAGCTTGGAGGTGGTGGGGTCAGTGATGCTGTTACAGACCTGGCAGGTTTGGGGTAGGGAGATCTGTGGGTACTTTTACCTTAAAAACCAAGGCAAAAGTGATTCTTTGAACTGCTCAGCAGCTCCAGGCACTGCACTGCCCCTGCAGCACACAGAGGCCTCGAGTGATTCTTGACACATTTATCAGAGCAATGACATGACCAGTGATTAATTTTGGAAGTTCCCTTACCCAGACTAAAAAAACTGAAGTTTTTGGCGAACTTCCTGTATGCATTCTTTCCAAACTGGCACAACTGGTGTCTCCTGGCTCTGCCTGATTTTTTTCTGCCCACAGTTCTGCAGACAAGCTCCTTCCAACCCTCCACTGAAATGTCTAAGGACAGTTGTTCTTTCCCAGGGTTCCTCTTGGCTGAGGTTTTCTGAGCCCTCCCTCAAGTAAGTCAGAGCTTTTCTCCTCTTGTTCCACTCCTATCACCTGTAATCCCAAACCAAACACTTCCCACTTGTACAAAACTCACCCCAGGAAAGGCAGCTGAAAGTAAACATGCAAAGTGCCACAGAAACAGAAATGGGAGGGGAAGAGATGCCTTTGGGCTGGAGTTCAGCCTCCTTCCTGCTCAGTACCTGTGTGACTGACACCAAAGTGTGGTGGACACAGCTGGGAGAGTGCTGTTCCTTCAGGGATGTGTTTTGGAGCTACAGGGAAGAGGCCACACAGAATCAGCTCAGTTTAGACTTCGCTGAGGTCAGACAGTAGAGAGACTGCCTGGGTGCAGGGTTGTGATTGAAGCAGCTCCTCAAAGCTTAATTTTAAGGAGAAATTCAATTTCAGTTCATTTTTTTGAGCCCTCTGACATCTCTCCCCACCTCCTTCCAGTGCACAGCCACCATCCCCAGTTCCGTTTGGCATCATGTATATAAATAAATTATATTAATTTAATCAAACTTAAATAAACAAAACACTCAAGCGACACCTCCTGTCCAGTCATTTCCCAGCAGGAACACCGACCGCCTTGGAGTTCTGCTCTCCCACGGCTTCACCAGCTCCTGGAGTTTGCCCAAAACCCTCAAGTCTTGACAGGGATGGTTTGTTTGCATCCAGCGGTGCCGCCCGCCTCGGGCAGGCCCACGGAGTACTCGGTGGTGGCGATGAGCAGCATGTCCAGCGTGGTCTCGGTGCACTTGGCGATGAAGCGGATGAAGGGCCGCACGTCGCCCTCGTTGGCCACCTCCAGCACGTGGTAATACTCGGCGCGCTGCTCCTTGCGGATGGTGATGGGCGGATACCCCGCCTGCATCAGGATCAGGTTCATCAGCAGCCGCGAGGTGCGGCCGTTGCCGTCCACGAAGGGGTGGATGTAAACCAGCTTGTAGTGCGCCAGCGCCGCGAACTCCACGGGGTGCAGGCTCATGGCGTCCTCCGAGTTCATCCACTGCACGAACTCCTCCATCTGCTTCTCCACGTCCTGCGGGTGGGGCGGGATGTGGTGGCCCACGAAGACCTGCGTGGCACGGAAGCGCCCGGCCTCCACGGGGTCGGCGTAGCCCAGCACGCGCCGGTGGATGTCCAGGATGTCCCTGCTGGTGACGGAGCCGATGCGCGACACCAGCGTGGTGTTGACGAACTTGAGGGCCGCGTGCATGCCGATCACCTCGTTCTGCTCCGCCAGGCTCTTCCCGGGAACGGCGTACCTGGTCTCGATGATGTGCCGGATCTCGGAGAGCGTCAGCGTGTTCCCCTCGATGGCCACCGTGTGGTAGATGTGGTGGTAGTAGGATTCCTCCATCACCCGGCGCAGGGCGGAATTCCCTTTGGGAATAGCCATCACCTTCTTGACCTTGCTGTCGATGATGCTGAAATACCTCTGGTCGATCTCCTCCACCAAGGGCAGCGTCCGGCCGCGGTTGCTCAGAGCCTTCTCGTTGTGGGGGGAGATGGCCAGAGCTTTGGAGTACAGGTAGTCGGCCTGGAGGATGTCCTTTTCCTCCTCTGAGAAGATCCCGAACTCGTTCAGGGCATCCACGTAATCCGGGTCCATTTTGAGGGCATACAGGAAGAGTTTGTGGGCTTTCTCCCGCTTCCCTTGGCGCTTCATCTCCAGGGCTTGATTCAGAGCTGCTCTGGCTTCCAACTTCACCTCTGGAATGAAATGGTAACAGGTAAAGGGTGGTGAGTTTTACTGGAAACTTCTGGAAACCTGGATTCCGTGATCCTTGTGCCTCCCTTCCCACTCAGGACATTCTATGAATGACTGTTCACTGACATAAAAATTGAATAAAACCAGCCTTGGAGAACTGGAACAGAATTTGTGTTCCAGTTTTTAATCCTAGAGGTTTATGCCACGTCTCCAGGCTGAGTATGAGGCAGCAGAGCCATTCCTGGCAGCAAGTGTGGGGAGGCAGGACCTGTGAGCAGCAGGTTCAAGGTGGCCACAGGTGGCCACCAAACTGCTCCATGTGGGAGGAAACAGTGTTCTAACAGTGTTCCCTTGGCATTCTTTTAGGTGAAATTAAAATGTTAACATTGTTATGCTGGCTGCCAACAGCACTTCTGTTTTTCCACTGAACTATCCAACGTTTTCCCAGCAGTAAGAGCTTTAATGCAAACAAAGGTACAGTGCTGGAATCGCAATAATTCCTTTAAGTGTTTTCCAAATTAATGTCCTGGCTGATACTGGCCATGGCTACAGCCTGATATTGCCTGAAAGGCTGTTCTGTGCCAGGATTTTGGGGTTAATGCTGTGTAGCCCAGATTTCTGTGCATTAAACCACCTCTCTGTGTTCCAGTTGCCTCCACAGAAGTTACTAGTAATGAAAACACGAGGAAAAACTCTGGAGAGACTCAGCAATGCCAGCACAGGGCCCTGGAATGCAGTCGAGGAGCTGGTGAGGGCCTGCCTGACCTCAGGGGCATTTACAGCCAGTGTTAATTGCAGTTAATTGCAGTTTGTTACCATCAGTGTACAGTGTCACTCCCATCAGGGGTACAGGACGCGGTCAGGAAGGGGGTGAAGATCTCTGGGTTGGTGTTGGGGGTTGGAAGGGCCCTCTGGAAATCACCCACTCCAAGCCCCTGCCAAGGCAGGGTCACCTGGAGCAGGAAGGTGTCCAGGTGGGTTTGGAGTGTCTCCATGGAGGGAGATTCCACCACTGCATGGGCAACTGTCCCTCATGGAAAGAGGCTGCTCCTCATGTTGAGGTGGAACTTGTGTTTTAGTTTATTGCTCCTTGTCACCACCGAGCAGAGCCTGGCTCCATCCTCTGACACCCCCTGGAGATGTTTGTATGGATTGCTGAGATTCCAGACTGACCAGGCCCAGCTCCCACAGATCCTCCAGCCCCTAAATCACCTCTGTGGCCTCTGCTGGACCCTCTCCAGCAGCTCCTTGACCTGAGAGGAGCTCAGCCATGCCCACCCAGCACCTCTCACCTGGGGATGCTTTTCCCTTCAGCACCAGCAGCTCCAGCCCCTTGGAGGTGACGCTCAGCTCCGTGCTCTGTCCCGTGAGCCTGCTGATTCCCGAGGAGCCCAGTTTATTCCTCAGCAGGGACAGGCCCTTGAGCACGGCGTGGCACTGGTTGTCCAGAGGCAGCAGCAGCATCACCAGGGAGCTCAGCAGCAGCACCAGCGCGGCCGCCCAGCGCACACGGAGCCGCAGGGACACCCACTGGAGCTCGGCATCGCTCGCCATCGCCGCCAGACTCATCCTGCTTCCAGCACCGGCACCTGCAGCATCCCCCTTGCCGCTGCTCCCACCTGGGAACGCACAGCTTTAGCCAGAGCTGGGTAAGAGCGGGTCTGAGCGATGTGCTCTGTTTGTCACAGCTATGGGGGGCTGTCCCTGCCGCCCCCAAGCACCGCGTGGGATCCGCTGTGCGCTCCTGTGACAGCAGCTGCGGGAGGAGCCACGGGTGCCCGGGAGCAGCATGGGCACCGGGCTCTGCCAGCCGCTCCCGCGGGGTCACGGAGCTCCCCGGCGCCTCCCCACCCTCCTGCAGGCCTGTGAGCCCCGCCAGGCCAAGGGTTCCTGCACCGCTCTGGGATCCCTCCCCGTGCTCCGCTCCTTCCAGGAGCCTGAACCCGGCCGGAATCCCCCACAGCACTCCGGATCCCCCAGATCCGCTCTGCCCAAGGCCTCCGGTGCTGTCCTGCCCGCTGCCCGGTCCCCCGGTGTCCCCCCAGGCCTTCCCCCAGATCCCCTCTGCCCAACACCCCCGGTGCTGTCCTGCCCCCTGCCCGGCTCCTGCCTGCCCGGTACACCCCAGGCTTTCCCTCAGATCCCCTCTGCCCAACACCCCCGGTGCTGTCCTGCCCCTGCCCGGTCCCCCCGGTTCCCCCCCGGGTCTCCCCTCACCTTTGCCGCCTCCCGAAGCCGCCCGCTGCCGGCTGCCGCAGCCCCGCCCCCGCACGCTGCCATTGGCTGAGCCGCCCCCAAGCTCCTCTCCCATTGGTTAGCGCAGCGGACGCGTCTCTCGCGCTCCTCCCCTCCGCTTCCTGCACCGGCTTCCGGGTAGCGCCGCGCCCCGGGAGCGGGAGAGGCTCGTGGAGGGTGAGGAATGGCGAGTGTGCACGTCAATCACACGGCGCGCAACCAATGAGAAGGGAGGACGGGGAGTGGGCGGACGCGGTTGCCATATAAGGGCATGGCGTGCTGTTGCTAGGCGATGGGAGCGCGGCCGGGCTCAGCAAGGGTTAAATCCATTTCCGTCAATTTCTGGCCATTTCCATGGAAAATCACCTCTTTCTGTTGATACAGAGCTCCCGTCGCCTCTCCGTGCCCCTTCTGGATGTTTCATTTTATTTTTGGCCTTAAGCAGCAGCTGTTCCACGCCTGTGCCTCTCCTGCTGGAGGCCAGGAATAGGGAGAGATTGGAAAAAAGTTGAGGGAAAAGAGAATGTTTTAAATAATTGCTGGTAACTCCCTCAGAATCAATATCTAGCAAGGTGATAAGGTGGTTTTCTATCAGATGGAGATCATCACCAGGGGGGAAAAATAACCTGGTTTGTCAGAAATGAATTGAGGGTATTTAAATTGAGTTCAGAGGAAGCTGAGGGGAGACTCCACAGATGTGCCCGTGCCCAGCATCCCAATCCAAGACAGCTCCGTGCTGCCCCCACTCCATCCCGAATGGAGTTTCCCAGAGACAATCCCCCTTTCCAGGCTTGTTCTCAGCAGGAAAAGCAGGATCGGTGGTTTTACTGATCGCCAAGAGCAGCTGGGTGAGCTGGGCTCATCCCTAACCCAGCCTGGCAGGGTCAGCTCTGGGGTCTCTGCAGCACACGGATCCCCAGGCCACCCTGCAGCTCTATCCCTAACCCAGCCTGGCAGGGTCAGCTCTGGGGTCTCTGCAGCTCCAAACTGTCCTGCAGGCAGCTTTGGAAACGCCTGCAGAGAGCTTTGGGGGGTAACCAGCACTGGAAGGACCAGCAGAAGCAAATCTCTGTGAGGAGGCTTCAACACAAACCTGCGTTTGTCTTGAGACAAAATCCTCAGGGATCTGGCACCTAAAGCTGATTCTGGGATAACAGCGGAGCAGGGATGAGTTTTCCTTTAAAAAAAAAACGGTGAGAAGCACACTTAGGATCCATTCCTAATTAAATCCACTCGAGCAGGGGGGGGCAGCCAGCAATGCCTGCTGTCCCATGCCAGCTCGGATGCCTCCTGGTGCCCTGGGAATGGCTGAGGCAAAGCCGACGGTGCCACACCACCCCCGGGGACACCGCGGAGGATTTCCGTGTGTGACTCTGTCAGGAACAGCAAGGGGAGATCCCAAAGGTGGGAGGGAAGCTGTGGGATGCTGGAGCTGCAGCCTGGGTACACCAGAACTTTGCTGGGAATTCTCGATGCAGCTGTGCCAAACAGATCCCACCTGGATCCTTAGGGGGATTTGCACTCGGAGCAGCGTTCCAGAGGGATCCTGGAAGCTTTAGCGTCAGGCTGGGGTTTGTTCCTGTCCATGGGATGGATTTGGGAGCGGCGGGGTGGCTGCAGCCGGCAGATGGCACTGACTCATCTCGCTGCTCCATGGAAACATCCCAGCTGCATTCCCCTTCCAGGACCTGCCGCCTTCTGCCCTTGGAGGCACCCATCCTGGAAAACATATTCGGAGGTTGAGTGAGGCCCTGGCTGCCTTCTGGAACTGTTTGTGCTGGGATAAAATTCCCTGGAACGTGCACTCAGAGGTTCCTGGGGTCCTGGCTGTACCGAGCTTGTCCTTCCCACAGCTTGCCCCAGTGAGGCTGATCCTCGGGATAATCCTGCCTGGCATCCACCTGGGGGCTGTGACCAGGCAGAGACATCCGTGCTGTTTCTTTCAGGCCGGGCTGGAGCAGCCTGGGGTGGGGAAGTGCCCTGGGGTGATCTGGTGCAAGGAGGGATGCGGGACTGCAGGCAGCCCTTCCAAAATGCAGTTTATTGTATCCAAGGTGTCACAGCAGCCCAGGTCATGGTGACAGAGCCTGTGCCTACAGCTGTCAGCTCCAGCTGCCTGGACACCCTTAGTTTAGGTTACAAATGCATTCTATACTTTTCTTTGCTGAGCATCTTAACACAGCAGAACCAATCTATACCTTAACCTTTACCTGTAGCCTATCATAACTGCTTTAATTACCATATTCATGTTAAGATTCTCCAGTCACTAAAGGTTAGTACGTTACAGTTGAAGCTAGAAGTTGTTTTTAAGTTTTCTTGCAGTGGAAAATTCAGAGAGCTTTTTTTCTACTTGCAACATCTGCTGACTTGTTTGCCTGTGCTATCTTCCTGCTTGGTAAAAACATCTTGTTTGAGGTGGGTTTATCCTTTGCTCTAAGTGACAAAAAACCCCCCTTTGCCTCCTTGGTTATCCAGTGAGACTGGCTCAGCAATTCTTTCCTTCCATATCAAAACTCGCTTCCATTTCTATTCCTTCCTCAGCTCCTACATTCAAAAACCTTTCTGCCAAGCATCCATATATCTCTGAGACTTTCTTGCCAAGCTTTCATCCTCCCCAGCAATCTGGAAGGTCCCTTCCCACCCGAACCATTCCCTGGGGTGCCAGAGGAGCAGTGGGATGGGGATGAACACCTCTCCTGCCACAGTCCCACGCGGAGGGGACCTCACCCCGTGTCACATCCTTGAACAGCAACAATTCCCCCCATTTCCCACCTCCAGGGCTCCAGTGTGGGACAAGCAGTGCTGAAAAGGGCAGGAGGGTGGGAGTGCAGTGGGAGCAGGTTTCAAAAGGAGATGTTTTCCCTTTAACTCCTCAGCTCGCCCCCTGCTTAGGTCCTGAGAGCTGTCAGAGCTCAGCGGGTGCCAGGGGAGACCTGGCAGGGCACAGGGGCAGGGGTGGCTCTGCTTGGGGCTCCCCTGGGGCTGCCAGTGCCACCAGCCATGGGGACAGTGCTGCACCCACGATTTTCTGTGCTCAAGGATGCTCTGCTGGTCTTGGACGGCCTCAAGCTCTTCCCTGCTTGGATTTCACTTCAAACCCCCCCTGTTTAGGTGTGGATCCTCCTGGATTTTTTTTTTCTTGGTGGTGGTCAGCTCCCTTTTGAAATCTTGGCTAGTTCCTAATGCCAGTAGAGATGGCTGTAAAGGTGCCTCAATTTTGCCAGGTCACCTGCTGTAGTGGCCAGCTTATTCATCAGTATTTCTGAATCAGTTCCATTTAAAACTCCCAATCTTGTCCCTAATATCCCAGTTAGATCCGTTCTTATTCTGCTCCTGAGGTGTCCTTCTCTTTGTGACCACCTTGTCCAGCCCTCAAAGGATGTTCTTAGGAAAGAGGAGCAGGCTGGTTGGATTTTTGAGGTGTTAATTTACATTAGCAATTCAACACGTTTGAGAGACCACTCTGGATTGAACAACAGTTGTTGCTGAAGGATCCTCTGCTGGTCTTGGACAGTCTCAAGCTCTTCCTGCTTGGATTTCACTTCAAACCTCCCATTTTAGGTGTGCATCCTCCTGGATTTTTTTTTTTTTTCCCTCGGTATGGTCAGCTCCAGGCTGGAGCCAGCAGGAAATTCCCCATGGGCAGCAATCCCTGTCCTGGGGGATGTCCTGGGTGCAGGATGGGGCTGAGGCCACCTGGCAGTGCTCTGGGGACAGCCCTGTGCCCTGGAGGGACATTTTTCCTTAAAGGTGGCAGGAGGGGGGACGATGCTCGGTCTCCATGGCAACGGCAGTGCAGGGATGCTGGGACACAGCTGTGTCCTGGCAGAGGTGCTGGGGAGCTGCTGGAGCTCTCCTGTCCTGATCCCGGGCTGAATTCCAGCATTCCAGGCAGTGTGAGCTACCAGGGAGGGGCTCTGCTCAACCAGGGTGCGCCGAGCGGGATTTGCAAACAGGAATATTCCTGAAATTCAAGAGCTATTTAAGTTTTTAAATCCCAGGAAGAGAAACAGGAGCTCTGGAGCAGAGGCCTCAGGAGCCACCTGCCACTCACATTTTGCTTCTCCATGGATCCAAGTTTCCAAAGGCTCCCAGAGCCTGGGATATGCAAATAGCTCTTGATATGTGCTGATTGTGATAAATGGGAACCAAAGCAGGTGGGTGATCCTTTAGGAATCATAAATCCCCTCTGTGGTTGGTGAGACTGAGGAAATCTGGCCTTGGAATTCTGCACCACTCTTTCCTCAACATGTTCACTCAGGAATTGGGCAGGATTTGGGAAGAAATGGGCTTGCAAAAGGAAGAAATGGGTTTGCAAATGGAAGAAATGGATTTGCAAACCTGTGCTGTTCAGCAGAGCTCAGAGAGCCCCCTTGGAAACAAGGAGACAGAGCCTGTGTCATTCCCAGCTTTGCAGGGTGCTGGGTTCATTTTCCTGCATGCTGCTGGATAAAATGGATCCTGTGAAATTCCTCTAAATTAAAAGCTCCCCTCTCCCCCTGTCAGCAGGAGCAGCCCCTGTTTGTGGAACCCTGTGCTTATCAGGTGCCTCCAGCACTCTGCAAAAACTCAGAGTTGGGAAATATTTCCCTTTTTAAGGCTGGGTTTAGTTCCTTTGGAGCTGGAATGTTAAATTCCCCCAGCTGGGCTTTGCTTTCCACAGGAAGAGGCTGAGCTGGAGCAGGAGCTGGGTGTGAACCTCCCTGAGCTCTGGCAGGGGGCAGTGCCAAGCTCCCTGTCCCTTCCCAAAAGGAATGCCACTGGCAGCTCCCTGCTGGCGTTTGGCAGCTGAACAGGAGCAGTGGGAATTCGAAAATAAACCCAGCAGAGGGGGGGGGAAACCCCAGGATCTAAAGCAAGCAAGAGAAATCTCATTTTCTCCTGGAATTTCAGGGGTCTGAGCAGAAAAAAACCAATTATTTCCCTGTGCCTTGGCTGGGTAGGTCCATAATTCCTGAGAAACAGGGCAGCAGTGCTCCAAACACAGCTGCTGGCTGTTGGATAACTGGGATAATGGCCCAGATAAACCAGGAGAGACCTGCAGGGCCTCCAGAGGTGCCTCCATCCCTGCTCTGGGAGCCTTGGCAGTGCAGGGCTGAGGTCTGGCAAGGCAGGAAGGAGCAAAGCTGGGAAGTGAAGTGAGGAATGGAAGGAGAAGTAATTCCATGTTGTGCTCCCTTTGTGGGAAATCTGTTGGGGTACAGGAACTGGAATTTTGGCTGGGATTTGGGCAAGGCAGTGCTGCTGAAGAGGAATCAAAAGGAATTGGTGTTTCTTTCCAGGTTGTTTTGGATTTCTCCCTATTCCCATGGCACAGGAATTGAAATCCTATTCTCCCTTTCCTTCACCTCTCACAGGCATGTTACAAACTGGAGATAAACCAAGTGATTCCAGGAGGCTGCTGGGGGTGGGAAGGGGCTCAGACCTCCCAGGGAATGGCTCCAGCTCCTGCCTCCAGCAGCCTGTGGCAATTTCAATTTCCATGGAAAACCAGCCCAAGCCTTTCCAGCTCAGCTGGCATTTTTCTGGTATCCTAGTGATGTTCAAATCAATTCTCTGCCTAATTAGCTTGTAAACATTATTCCAAGGGTTTTTTGACCCCTCTTTTTAGGTGTGTTAGGCTGTGGAAGGAGAAATGCATCAGGAAAAGCACAAGGGAAAAGCATCTGCTTCTCTCTCTTCCACTTCCAGCACAACCTGAAACGGGATAAAGACACAGCTCTGGAATTGCCTTTTCTTTGGGGAGGGCAGAGAGACTCTTGGGGGTGTTGAAATTGAATTTTTTCTGAAGGATTGGAGCACCAAAAGTGTTGGGAATCAGAGCAGAGGGTGGGAACGGTTCCCTCGTGGCAGGAGGGAGGCTGTGGGTGCACAGGAGTGGGAG